CAGACAGAGAGACGATGATAGATAGATAGATAGATAGATAGATAGATAGATAGATAGATGGATGGATAGATAGATAGATAGATAGACACATTATTTTCTATTATAAATAATATGTATGAATGGATAGAAATGTATGTGTATATAATTTATATCTTTTATAATATAATTTATAATAATTTTTAGTATATAAAATTATTTTATATATAAACATTATACTATTTAATATAAATAACATGTGACAAATATTTAAATCTTACAATTTTACAGTTTCTAAAAATAGCTCAATTTTATTCATACAAACAAACAAACAAACAAACAAATAAATAAATAAATATGACTGTATTGCTATTGGTGTTTGTCATTAAAAGCCTCACTTTTGCTAATGCTAATGTTGAATAATGTTGAATAAATAGTGAGACTGGGCTGAAAAATCCCAGAAGCCAAAGCTCGTGCATTCAACACCTGGCAGAAGCGCCCATCAAACTGTAGAGTTTCTTCATCATTACTACAGTGTCTTTCTCCAGAGGGACGAGCCCAGCGATTAGTGCACTATATGCTGCTCTGGATAAAAGTGTTTGCTTAATGACAAGTAACAAAAGACATGCATTTAGTTCCTGCCGGGCACAGTCATTATCTGTCTCATTCAGACGCTTCAGCTGGATCATTAGCCAGAAATTAGTGAGTCACTGAGCGTGAGAAATCCAATTAGCATAGCCGCTTTATTTATGAATTAAGCAACAAATGATGTTAATGATATACTTACTTTATAAGGTTCTCCAGGACCAGCCGTGCATTGGACAGGACCTGTAAACACAAACAAATAAACCAATTGAATGCATTTGCAGCTCATTTGTATCCAAGCCTACAGGCAAAACTAAAACGAGTTACACTTGAGGAGAACTGATGTTTAACTCTATAAATAGGATGATTCAGATGGTTTTGTCATATTCGTGTCTATTTGGTAGTTTTTTTTTTATCAAGAAGATGCAATATTAAGCGTTTGCTCATCTGGAATGTGTCGCTAAAACATTTCTGGTTGGATATTAAAACCAAAAAAAATATTATTTTGTATGTGAATCTGCTCTGTTTAAAGGAACCGTTCACCCCAAAATGAAAATGTGTTGAAAATGTACTCAGGCCATCCAAGATGTACAGTAGATGAGTTTGTTTCTTCATTAGAAAAGATTTGGAGAAATGTAGCATTCCATCACTTGCTCAGCAATGGATCCTCTGCAGTGAATGGGTGCCGTCAGAATGAGAGTCCAAGCAACGATGCACCCCAAGCCGGTTGAAAATCATAAAAATATGTGACGATTCAAGTTAGTTGAGATGTTAAACGAATTGCGATACAAACGGGGGGGGGCTGCTTTGTTTACAGTGGTAACCAAGGAAACACTGTATCACTGCTGTTCCAAAAGCGCCACCTGCTGTCAGAGAGTGAATTTGCATCTCATTCGGCCCGTCTGCTGTTTCTGTTTCTTTCAGATGTTGTATAGTATAGTTTCATAAAGCTAAAGTCAAAATATTCTGCTTCAGATTTCGAAATTATATAATCTAACTTAAATAAAAAACTGCATGTATGCAGCAACTTTGTCTGGATCGTGATTAAAACGCAGTGGGTTGCCTCTTATTTTAAATGGAAAGAGCACAGGCAAAGTTTTAGTTTGTTTATATTTCTTGAATTTTGTATTATTTATTTTATTTGGGATTTCTTTTAAAAAGTTAAATCAGTTTAGTTTTGTTATTTGACATATTTCAATTTCACAAAGAACTGTGCCGCATTTTGTCTGAGAAATAATAAAAAGACACCAATTCATTTATAATTTGTCTTGAATCACATTTTGTTAATAAAATGGTGAGAAAATCATATTGTGAAATCAGTATTGTGAATCATATCGCATCGTGAGTTGATCAGAGTCACTCCTACTTGTAAAGCGAAAAGCTGCGTGCTTGTAAGAAACAAATCTATCTTTAAAGAGCAGGTCATATGGTATTTTAAAGTGTCCTAATATTGTGCTGAAGTCCCCTACAACAGGTTTAAATGCATCTAAGGTCAGAAAACATTGTAATTTTCTCAGAATATACATTTAATATTAGAGTAATTTGCCAATGATTTCGAAACGATTCGTTCCAAGCAAGTCCAGAGCAAACCCCTCCCTTACATAAGCCTACTCTGCTCTGATTGGTCAGCTGGCCAAGCCTGCTGTGATTGGCACAGAGAGGAGTCCTTGAGCAAGTTAGCGAGCGCTACCATTGACAAAGCACCTTTGCATAAAACAATAATATAGTGCTCCAATCCATTCTTAAAATAATGAAAAAAAATACAAAACCACTTATGCAAGCGAATCCTGCCCACAGCTAAAGTTTAGCTGCTAAACTGTGAACACTTAAAACAATAATGGTGGATAAGTTAGCCGAGTGCTAACGTGACTAACTGATAAAACAATACAGTTTGTAAACCAAAATATGTCTACTGTAATGTTTGAAGAACGACAGACAAAAGACGCTATGTCTTAACTTTTAATCAGAACGCAGAACAGCTGTATCACAGGCGCAGCAGCCTAACTAACTCGCTCGTCTCTCCCGCATTAACCCTATAACTGCCGGTGCAGCAAAATAAACAGCAATTTCACAATGATTATAAAGTCTGTGCACTACACTACATT